TGTTTGTTCAAGATAGGAGTAAAGGAAGCCATTTTTGAAAAGCAAGCGGCCATCAGAGCACTAACGATCTATTGTTAGGCTGATGGTCCTCCTTTTGCATGAACGACTAGTTTTGGCTGTTGCCAGCAGACTGGTTGATCCACTATGAGAAGGTGCTGCTTATAAAATTTAAGGGCCCGGCATCCTCCATCTGAAGTCGACGTGCAGTCACGTGGTTGTGGGACGTTTGTTGTCACACACACCTTTCATAGTCCACGAGACGCAGAGCTCCTTGGAAACTCCTCTCATTGCAGTATACATTACTGCAAGGTTTTCTTCCCACCAAAGTCTCCACTCTGTCCCTGCATCTGATGTTCGGCTACAAATCTATCATCAAGAAAGCGCCACACTTTTTAGCAGACAGACTCCTCGGTACACAATGTCAGCACGATCTCCATCCAGGAGCTTTTGTCCATTTGATTAATTTGGTGTGTGTGAAGAGTCATACAGCTGAATGTTAGAGCACATTTCCGCATTGATGGATAAGCCCACAAACTTCTGACCAATCACACAACACTTGGTGCATATGCATGTGAGAAAAAGTTTGACCAAGGCCTTATGTCGAGAAGGGGCGGGCAAAGCTGCTCTGAGACACAATGACGCAATTTTCATTACATAACTACAACGAGAGCCGCTTTCAACGCTTCGGATGGAGGATGCAGGGCCCTTGAGTTTGTTGCAGCTCCTCAGACTGAAGAAGCATTTGGATAAAAGACGAAACGTTTCAACAAAAAATATTCATCCAGTGGACCTGACTCCATCTTGTTAGATTTATCTACTTGGATTATTGAGCTATACCTTTTATATTATTTATTACTGATGTTTAGCACATTGTTTCGGCTGTGGCTGGTGTTAAAGTGCTTTATAAATAAAGTTGTTGATGACGATGATGATTGAGCATGCATCAGGACGCAAATTAAAAAAACAAACTTTATTGTTTTATTGCACTTGCAATGAAAGCCAAAATGTTGACCTCAAACAGGACAATCACTAATGGAGTGCGATCTGTTTTAGGTAAGATATAACATACTTCATTTGACAAATTGTTTCTGAACCTTTAGTATGTAAAAACATGTAAATAACAAATACATGATCACAACTCGTTTAGCAACCAGTTGTTATTTTTCCTTTGAACCCTCCATCTACAATTTATAACAGTTTCATGATAAACTGTGGCTAAAACAGGGCCCACTGCATCTCAAGTGATGATTTAAAAACATTCATTCAACCTTTATTTAGACAGGTAAATCCCATTGAGCCTCGAGGACTCACTTACAAGAGAGACCTGATTTCAACAAAGAATTATGACAACAGTAGACAAAGTGACAACAATAAACAGTTATAAAAAGTCATACTACAGTTTTTTGTTTTTTTTAACAAATAGGATGGCAAAAATGTAACAAAAAACAGCTAGATTCTAAGGCGAATGTAGAAAACTAAAAACAGGAACATGTCTGCATTGGTCCCTGCCAGGA